GACTGAACAGAAACAGAGTGCCTGTATTTCTGTTACACAACATATGGCTCAGTTCTGTTTTTTTCATTAAATGACTAGGCAAAACTTAAATTTAATTGAAAGTAAGAATGATTTTATAATGTCAATTTTATAAATAAGTGTATTTCCCTATTTCTAAAGGACACGGTGTTACTTTTTAGTAGCCAAGACAACTATTTTTAGCTTAACCTACACACTGCTGAAATTGTCAGTAGACAGAATGCTGCTTTAACAGATGGTTACATGGAGAAGTATGTGAGAGCACCTCTATGTGCATCAAGTTTAAATGTTAGCTTGCATTGCCATAGAGGAATACAGAGACAGCAATCTATGTAAAGCTCATGAAAGATGGGAGAATATACCATTGCAAACCTGATTCAAAACTGCATAGTTTATAAATATGTGCCCTTGTTGCTATGGCACTTTTAGTTTTGGTGACTTAGGATTATACAGCATCTAAAAGTAACCCACCTTGAAAGGCAGGGTTTCTGTGTAAGAATCACAGCTAACAAAATCAAAGAGCAAGATATCTGTTTCTTATGTAATTTGCTCTAAAATCTTGTTAGCACTTCGTGCATGGTTTTCTTATCTCTTTTTTTCTGGATAAGAAATGTACCAGAGTTTTTACACTGTAGCTTATGTGGGTTTGTCACACAATCAGAGTAGATAGCACACCAAATTTAAAAATAGAAAGAATTACGCCTGTCAAATAAAAAAAAATGAAAGAAATGCCTTATTCTTATGGTAAATATCTCTGTCATGGCCTTTCCATGTTGAAAAAGGCTTTTATATTTTCTTATACCATCTCTCCTTTTACATAAGGAGATAATTACAATAATTTCATAAATCCTTATAAAATTCTGGAAGATTTATTAGAAAGCTTTGTGTCAATATATACAGTATTTATTACTGTCTCTTCAAATTACTCATTTTTCCCAGAGCTGGAGTTGATGAAATTAACTTTGATATATTAGTTTACTTCACTGGGGAGAAAAAAATGTTAGGACAAGATTTTTAGAAGCCACACTGTGTCTGTTGCAGATCAAGATGAAAGACAAGACAATAATTACCCTTAGGAGGTCAGAGCAATTATTCCACATCCCAGAAGCTGACTATTTTGGGTAGTGCAAAAGCTGAATCTGTGTATTTCTGTGGTCCAGAAGCTTGCATGAAATAGCTATGAACAATGATTGTAATGCTTTTAAACAAAAACGGGCACCAGGAAGGCACACTGATAACAATCTCATTGCTAAATCATTTTATTAATCACTTGAAGCCTGCCATTAAAGTAACTGAAAATATATACACACTTAGATGCTATCTCTTCAAATGTTTACATGGTTACCTCTAGAGAAAAGTAGTCCTCCTGAATTCAGTGCCAGTATTTGTATGTGGAAAATTACATATTCAATCACCTTTAGTGCTATGTATATACACTCAAACAAAAGATTTTCCAGCACACCTAGTGTGTTGGGTAATCTGGTAGAGATACACCAAAACAGCCTGATAAAACTAGGTCTAGTGTGTCCTCAACTTGCACACATCAGGTACCCCAAACGGTGTCTCTTGTTAGCATACCATTATGCAGCTATCTAATTTGATCTCATGATATTTTCATGCAGTAATGACTGCTTTAGGATGAATTTTATACTCACTTTCACTATGATCTTCAAAAAGAGCCCTAATATATAGGGTTTGGTCTAACTCTCTGCACAAATTTCACCCTCCATGCTTGGGGAGCTAATTGGAAAAGAACATCAGATTTCTGCAGCAAGTATTAGTGGTAACCATATATGTTTACCCCAATTAGTACTGAATTAGAAGCTGTTGACAGTCTCACCTGCCCTCAGCTACAGTGATTTTACAATGAAATTGAATGACATCAAACTGGTAGGATGGGATAAGGAATATGGCCCAGTATGCCTCTGCTCTTTAAGTTATAGACCTTTATCCAAGATATGAGATAGAAAAAATACAGAAATTAAAACAATAATAATAATGCTTTTACTGCTATTCCCTTATTGTTGTGAATTTTATTGAACACAGAAAATGTAAACAATTGCAAAGATCAACCAGTTTACATGTATGTCAGCTCTACTTTTTGCTTAAGGAAGACCATATGCTTTGCTAGATCACATTTAAGGAGCATATATAATTTACTGCAGAGCACAAAGCTATCTGGGAAAGGCATATATACTCCATATATGTGGAATATCTGAATTTCAGCTGGCTGCAAAAATGAATAATACATTGGCTGTGGAGTCTGTAAAAAGCCTCACACATAATGTAACTCCCAAATGAGGTGAAAGCCAAAAAAATGAAAAAGTCAAGGAAAAATAGTCAGTGTAAGGAAAGATATTTGCTGAAGTTCTCTGAAGAGCTGGAGCTGAATCAGTGAAAAATGCCCTGGAGAAAGAATAAAAGGAAGCTATGAGACCTGGTCTTTTAAACCTGTCTTCAATGATACTTCAGAACACAAAAAGGCATGCTTTCTGAGGTGTAGAACTCTGCATTTCACTAACAAGCTGAAGGAGTTAAAGGGGGATCCATGACCAGAAACAAAAAACTGAGCTGGAGGAATGAAGTCAAGGAGAGGACACTACAGCCCTGATGGACACATAAAAACATGCTCCCTAACAGTAACATTCTTAAAACAGTGAATTTTGAGTCAATGCCTATCTGCTTGCCTAGAATTACTTTGCTCCTAATAAAGTACTTGATTTAAACACTGCTTGCTGAAATCACTGTATTACATTCTTCAGGCATGTGGCATTTTTGAAAATTTTTCAGCCAGCCAACTGAATGAGAGCAAAAGAGAAGCAGCATGCTGGGGAGGGTACATGTAAAATATTAGAGACACCTGGGTAAGGAGGACGTGGCTTTTATCTTGCACTGTGTTTCTCTGGGTTATAGTCCTCATCTCTTTAGGAAATGGCACTCAATTGAGAGCCTGTCCCCAAGGAGGACTGCCCACAAGGACAAGGCCACAGCAGACAGCTGGAGCTTGCAAAAATCCCCTCCTTTGGCGTGAGTCAGTCGATGCAGCCAAGTTCTTGGCTGGTAAATACCATACTGGGCCGATGGTACCAGTGCTATGCCAAAGCACAACTCAATCACCCATGTGAGTAATAAACACTGCAAACACTGCTTCAGAAGAGCGTTATGGAGACAGCCATACCTTCAAACCCAGGAGCCTGAACTGTACCCCTGCATAATCACAGGGGCTTGCAATGGGAAGGTATAAATGAGGTGCCAGGCAATTTTTCACCCACCTACCCAAGACTGCAAACCTTTCTCTGGCAAATCTTTCATCTCAACTGCCATCTTTTGCTCACAATTACCTGCAAATTGTCAGTGCACTGTATGTCATGCATTGCTGTATGAGTGAATCTGATGGTTACCATGCAAATAGCTCAAGATGAAATTCTGCTCTGACAGACAGTAAGAACAACACATTGTTGCAAGTACTCTATAGCCTCTACTTCCTGCAAAATGCTGCTGACATTTATATCAATAGAAGTGGAAATACGAAGCCTGCACAGGCTGTGATACTGCCCACCGTAAGCAGGAAACATTATAATTAGGAAAGAGCAAACCATGCAAAAAGTGTATGAGGTTTGGTGACCCTCTCAAACTATGCTTTGTTTCCTATAATTAGTTGAAAATAAAACTTTTTTTCCAGTAAGGTTAAAACTATTTTCATCCCCAGAGATAATTCAATTTAAAGCAAAATACATATTGCTTTTGGCTAAAGAAAACATGCTATGCATGGCAAAAAATTTACTATGTACAATAGCTTAGTTCCTAAAGTCACAACTCCAAACGAATACATTTTAGTCTTTGTATCTTCAAATACCGTATGCTTTGTTGTAAAAACTACTTGTTTTCTCTCAACAGAAAAGATGGATGTGCTTCCCCAGGTTTTCAGATAGCAGAAGTGACCTGTAAGTAAAACAGACTACAAGCACGGGGATTTGCCCACTGCCACACTGAAGCATCATGGCACATGGGAGATGGTGCTTCTGTGCAGCAAGCTGCCCTAACAGACGAATCTAACCTCCCAAAATGAGGGATCCTAAGGAAGACATCATTGAATTGTTTGGGTTGGAAGGGACCTTAAAGGTCATTCAGATCCAGCTCCTCTCCCATAAGAAGGGACATCTTCCACTAGACCAGGTTGCTCAAAGCCCCATCCAACCTGGCCTTGAACACTGCCACGGATGGGGCATTCATAGCTTCTCTAGGCAACCTGTACCAGAGTTTCACCACCCTCACAATAACTTACTACAAGCTCACTCCATTTCTCTCCTCCTTTTCTCTAGGTGGGTGCATTTACCCTATTTGCAAGTGCAAGCAGGAATGCTGATGCTTTATCACGTCTGACACAGAGGTGGCTGGCAGGGACAGCCAGCACCTCTCATGAAGGTGGAGAGCACCATGACTCCAGCTACAAAAGCACCTGGGTGCTGCATCTCTGAAGCTTGGCACAGGTTTCTGGGGGCAAGCCAAATAAACTGCACCATTCCCTATCCCCACCCGCTTCGTTCTGGAGCAGCACATCCCTGGTCACCCTTCTGTGACAACCGCTTTACTGGAAAATCCCCCATCGCTTTCTGAGTGTGTTTTCTCGACTCTGACAGCAGGCACAACCACAGCGGGCCCTGGGGGCTACACCCAGGCAGGCAGCGGGTGCCGTGCGGCCGGACTGTTCCCCGGCTATGGCGGTGATTTCCGCCCCGGCAGGGCAGGGCGAGCCGCTGAACTCTTGAACTCACGGGCCCGGGCTGAGGAAAACCAAGACGCCCCCTTCCCAATCACAACACGCGCACCGGCACCACCGACACACCCCTACCCGGCCCCCGCCAGCCACACCGTCCCTAAGTCCCGCCCCGCGGAAGTCTCGCGGTGTTATGCTAACGAGGCGGAGGCCGCACCGCCCCTCCGGTTGACTCCCGCCTTGTGCCCTCCATCTGGGTGGGTGAGTACGGGCCGCGGTGCTCTGTGGGATACTGGCGGTATAGTCTATCCTCTGTGCGGCCGTAGCGGAGGGGCCAGGCAGGAGCAGGGTATGAAGATGGCGGACGCCAAGCAGAAGCGGAACGAGCAGTTGAAGCGCTGGATCGGCTCCGAGACCGACCTGGAGCCGCCCGTGGTCAAACGCAAAAAGACCAAGGTGAAGTTCGATGACGGCGCCGTCTTCCTGGCCGCCTGCTCCAGCGGGGACACTGAGGAGGTGCTGCGGCTGCTGGAGCGGGGCGCCGACATCAACTACGCCAATGTGGATGGGCTCACCGCGCTCCACCAGGTCGGTGCGGAGCTGTTCCCGCCGGCCGCGGGGCGGGGTGGGGGGGAAACCTGGGTGAGCTCCGCGGCGGGAGCAGGGCTTGGGCAGGCAGGGAAGGGGAGGGGGGCGAGGCCGGCCGGCCGCCGGAGTGCACTCCGGGAGGAGGTGGAGGAGGAAGGGGCCGGAGGCGGCTGCTCTCCCCTCCGCTGGGGGGTGTCGGGGCGGGGAGGGGCCGGCAGCGCGGGGCGGGAGGTGGTGGCCCCCGGGGTCAAGCTCTGGGCCGGCGGTGGCCTCGGGGAAGCGGCCCGAACCCCCGGGCTGAAGGAGCGGGAGGCTGCGCCCTCTCCCCGCGGGCCGACTGGCGGAAGGGGGCGGCTGGGCCTCTCCTTCAGTGGGGAGGAGGTGCCGGTGACCCTCTTTCGCTTTTGCCGGTCGCCTCTTTTCCCCTGCTGGCAGCGCCTCCCTCGGGCGGGACCGGGGGGCGGCCGGGCAGGTGCCCCCCGGCGAAGGGGTGGTGGCCGGCAGGTGAGGGAGGCGGGCTCGCCTTGGGGGGCGCTTCCCCCGGCTGCCTCTTGCCTGGGATCCCGGTAGCAGTTTCCTGCTTCCCTCGTTCCCCCGGTTTCGCAGCAGTCGATCCGATTAAACCCGGCTCCTGCGTGCGGGAGGGCGTGCGGAGAGACGGATCGTCTGTTTCTCCCTGGTTTCTAAGGGGAGCCAATGTTTTGTTCCTAATATAGAAACGTGTATCGATAACAAGCTTCTTGCTTTCTTTAGTGATGGCTTCTGCCGCAGTGTGAAAGCTGAACTTTAAGGGGAGCAGAGCTCTTTACATTTTTCTTCCGTGCGTTGGAGAGCAGTTAAAAAACGAATCCATATTGCTTTGTTCTAGCGCGGGTATGTGGGAGGGGGGGCTGGTGCAGAGGGAGATAACTTTCAGTTGGGGTAGGGGGGGAATGGAAGGGAAACTGGCTGTGAAGTTTCCTCAAAATGGATGCTTTGTGCATGTTGAACTTCGTAGCAGTCTGATTGGAATCTCAAAACGTTAGCCAAATAAGGAAAGGCTGTGGCAATCCGGAGATAATGCGGGTTTGCCTGAATAGTTTTTGTTTCTCTAGAAAGCCAAAAGCTTCCACACGATATTAGATTCACTGCATATCCAAAAAGCAAAACCAAACATACATAAAAAAGGTATTTGACAGGCTAGCTTATTGATCTTTAATTTTAGAGTTTGTCCAGTAGCTTGAAAAAAGTGTCTGTTAATGACTGAGATGTAGGTTGATCAAGTAGAAATCTTCCCAGAATGGTTAGGTGAGGTAACTATATATACACACACAGAGTGCTTTTCTTCAGTTCACCAGCTCATTTTTGTTTAATGTATTTTATCCATCCCATATAGATTTTTCAAGGATGTCAGGCTCTGGCAAACGTACAAATATGTACGTTTCCCCATAGTCCTGTAGAGAATCTTCTGAACTTAAGATAGAGAATTCTGCTAGTCTTTGCTCTGTTTCCTGTGTGTAAGTTGTCGCTTGCTCCCCTGTGAAGGGTATTGGTTTACTTTCAGTTGTGAACTGAACTGGAAGAATGAACGTGTGTTGTTGTTAAGGCTGTCAGCATGTTACTACAGCATGGTTACCTGACTTAAGGCTAGCTTGTCACTTCACAGCAATGTTTTATGTATTTATCATTCTCTAATCAAGCTATGATTGCTTAATGCTTCCAGGATAGCTCTGTATCAGAAGTCATACCTTAACTGGTTAGAGTGTTGGGTCCAAGAGTTACTGTACTGCAGTGATTGGTAGGAAAGGATGACGTTTGATTTAACTGTATTGTTAGAATATGAGATGAGTGATGTTCTCCCTTTGTGAAATCCAGAATGCATTTTCAGAATGTTTATGATGCTATGTACCACAAAACCTCCATCAAGATCATTATGAGCTTATTGTCCCCTTCTTTTTACCTGTAGTCAGCTTGCAGTTTTGAAGGGAACAGAGGTGAAGATTTACATCACTGCTAAAACTTGCTCTCTCTCTTCCTCTCCTATTCCCCTCCTTCAGTGATACTGAAGAGCCTTTTCTGGTTTGATACATTGGAAAGCAAATAAAAGATCAGTTGTGAAGTTATACTTGTCTTGAGGCGGTCCTGTAAATGAACATTGCCTGTTGCTATAAAAATGACCATTGCCTGTTTGCTATAAAAAGCATATAAGAAATCCCTGCTTATGACCCAACTGTTAATGGTTTCACTTTGTTATTATCAATAAATCTTATTTTTCTCTAATATGCCATATAAAAGGTGCAAATCCTACATGATGCAGCTTATAGCATGAATTAATTTTATCAGTCTTGGCTGTGGCATGGAACAAAGCTTTCATCTGCTCCCAAAGGAAACTCTTCAAAAACTTGTCATTCTTTCTGATAGAATTTTGACTGACGGATGTCAATTGTGCTGAAGTTTGTGTTGTTGTGCTTAAGACTGCCGTGGCTTGCTGTTGCTTTGTGGTTTGTTGATTGTTTTGTTATTGTCTGTCACATCCTGTGCAGACTTTACTGCTCACCAGAATACATTTGTTTCAGCAAAGATAGAGTCACTTTATCTTTTATTTTTTGGGTTGTGGCCTTTTTGTTTTGCATCAAACTTTTTTTTGTTATTGAGAACAAATGAATGTGTGAAATAGCAATAAATATTTAACATATTAGTCAGCTTTTTTTTTCTGCTAGATATGACAGTTACAGACAGAAATATAAGTGCTGTTTTCTTTTCCATGGCCCAGGTAGTTGGAAGTGCTAAGGGGAAACTGCCATTAATGCTGAAATTCTGATGAACTTCAGATCTGGTCTTTAATGGAGCATCAGGCTTTGTTACTAAAGCCATTAACTACTCTGATACCAGCGAGGTAGAAAGCCATCGCTATCGGGAAGCTTTGTGTAATACTGTTTTTCTTAATACATATGGGAAAGAAAAAATTACAACTGGCTTGGTAGCTCAGAGGCGGAGGGGGGGAGAGTGTGTGTGTATATGTGTATGCATGCATATATCTATCTATATAATGTAGGTACTTTATTCATGTTTTGACAGTGCCAGTAAGTGATTTTGTTTTATATTTTCATGTGCATAAGTGAGTGGACTTGAATGCATAGTATTTGAGGAGGCGTCACATAAAACTTCTGTGAAGTAAAGATCTTGCAGAAGGGGAAAAATATGTCATTAGATGATGATGATTATTCCTGTATGTGATGTTGGGTTCAAATGTCATTCTCTTTAAGAACTTGTTTTAGCATAAGTTCAGGTTAGCCCTTCAGCACAAAGGAGCAAACTAGGTATACCAGTTTTCTTTCTGTGGGAGATATAAACAATGTAGAATATTGCAGCAGGGTAGTATGTATTCTGCTGCAATATTCTGTTATGTAGGTATTATAGTTTGTGTATGTCTGAAAGACCGGAAAACTTGCATTTAAGTTACACCTTAAATTTACAGTCGGATTTCTGCTCTGTTTAGTTAGTGGAGGTTGAAGTTGGTTGTTTTTAAATCTTGTGTTCTGAGACAGTTGTCATGCAAGATGAGATCTAACTTATAGATAGTGCAGCTTTTTTTAATCTGCTTTAACAATTGTATGCAAGGAGAATGTGAGAGAAAAAAGAAGCCCAAAGGTGATCTATGAGCTTGCAGATTAATAGTTTCTGCAAAGGGGGTGAGAAGTGGCATTTTCTGAAATAATGTAAAGAAGAGACTATATACTGCTTTCTAAAAATCTTGGTCCCTTTTAGGGAAGGCATATTTATTTAGAGTGGGGCTAAATTTGATCGTACTGAAAACTTAGCATCTATCATTCCTCAGAATTTGGACTCTTCCTCTACTTCCATGAAAGATACCTTGGTTCAGTAGCTCTGATTGGAATTTATTGCTGAAGTTACGCAAAGTAGTTTGCCTAAACTTGTAGAGCTTTGTACAGGATAGAGGAGCCTACCCTGTCTGGGCAGCACCACGGGAAGGCTGCATGTGGTGGGGAGGGACTGTGGTGTGACCAGTTTCCTGGAAGGCTGGATTTCCTGTGCTCACTGCTCCCCTGGGATCATGGGGTGTGCGCTGTGGAGTACCTGCACGTTCCTGATAAAGAAGCCAGTTGAGATTAGCCTGTGGTTAGGTATGACAATTTATGCAGCCAGCTTTTTGGCTGCCCTTTTTCTTTGAGTCTGCCCATACCTGGGAGGTGCTAACCTGTTTTTTTGGCCTCATTCTCTCTGGGTGAGGAAGGTGGGAACCGCAGCCTAATTCCACCACATAGAAAGCAGCATGTTCTGCTGTCTTGATCTTGTTTTTTTTTTTTTGTTTTTCTGGGGAGGGTACTGCTTTGGAAGTAAGTTAAAGGAAATAGTCTTGGCTGCGCATGGGAATCGTTGAGTACTGTATGTGTTGTCATTGGTGAAGGCCGAACAGGCTCCTAATCATTATGGAAGCTCCCATGTGCTCTTTTTTTTTTTTTCCCGTCCAGTTTAATTAAGCAAAGTTTCCCAAAGTTCTCTTTGTTGCCAGTACCTGCTGCAACTGTTCAAGTACTAAATTGAATCTGAGCATGAGACTGTTTTACCGACATTAGTTATGTGTTAGCTTGCAGGCATAGCAGTATGCAGTGTTAAATAGAAATTTTGATTTGATGCCACTGCTGTAGGGCCCTGCTGTGTTGATCCCTCAGTAGTAGTTAAGATACTGAGAAACTCCTCACAAGCGTGTTTCGCTGAACACTTATTCTCTCTAACTGATTGAGGATGGTTACTGCTGTCTTAGTGTTTCCTGTGAGTTCCATGGGATTAATTTCTTTGATAAGAAGTACCTTCCTTTGCAGGAGTTTCTGCAATGGCTTAAGTGAAAAATTCTCTCAGGGCTCTCTGTGGCATGCTTATAGTACCTGATACGGTAAAGGGTGTCGTTACTGTTGGCATTAGCTGTTATCCTTGTTACAGCACCCTTTCAGACAGCAAGGAGTGATGAAAAAGGGACATAAAATCTACCAGCACTGGTT